CCTGGTCACTCCTTCAGCTTTCGATTCTATCTGCCGATCACGCAATTAGTCCCTTCTTCCGGTAGAGCCACCCAACATGCAAATCCTAGTGCGAAATACACACATGACTTTCGGCACTAGACTGGATGTGGCGTGTAAAGCTCAACCAAGCAAGCTCAGGCCCTAAGTCCGCACGGAGCCCTTGGCCCTTGCCTCTGCTGTCTGCGGAAAGTGCAGGCAAAGAATCTGGAAACCCATTCAATGCTAAACCTCTGACCAGAAGCCCAAACATCCCTACTGCCCCTCAGTAGTAGAACCCGTGGAATCCTTAAAATGGCAAAGGCCTTGGCTTTCCCCTTGTGACTTTGCTAAGCCCCACGCTAGATGTACCCTGGAGCCCGCAGATGACACCAAAGCTTCCCACATACCCCAGATAAACCTTCTTCTTGATGACCAAAGATGACATCACAGTCTTCCGCTACTCTTGCAGATGCCATCCATCCGGAATGCCATACTTGAGCGATACTACATTGCTCGCCCTCGGCAGACGTTTTCATTCATGCTGAGATCCCGTCAAGGCGCTACAGTGAGCCAGGGGCACGCGGAGCCCCAGCCTTGGAGAGAACTTCACAACGTGCACGCTTTGTTGGGGAAGGCTTGGCAGCACTTTGGCCCATCGCATGCTTTGTTTGCAACCATTCTGCAGCGCTCTGCCAGCGTCATCTAGGTGCAACTTGACCAGTACTGCATCTTAGTTCAGATTTTTGGGAGCCCTGGCAGCTTCAACCAGGCATCCTGGAAGAGCTTCTTGTACTCTCTGCGGTAGTGCCCCAACGGCCTGGGCGAACATGATGGGTGCCTTTGGGTGCTCTGAAGTCCACACATATAAGCTGCCCAACCTGCAGCATAACCGGAGGTGTGATAGACTCGGATCTTCAAGTGCAAGATTTAGATATCCAGACATGCGTTGTACCTGGAGCCGCGCAACGCGCGAGTGAAACACAGGCGTCTGCAGCATTCTTTAGCAGCGCTGCTGGTTCCGAAATCGATTGTTTTGAGCTTCCTGCCTGCTGGTTGCCAGCAACAGCTCTCCCTGGACATCATCCTCACCGTCCTGTTGGAAGAGTCACCACCACTCACTGAATTCAAGCTCGTGACTAGTGGCTGAGAAACTGAATGGTGCGCAATCCTATGTGAAGCACTGCTCTAGACTGGCGCTGTAAATTCCATCCAGGCAGTCCTGTCATGTTCTCCATGTTGAAAGAACCGACTATAAAGAACATCTGTGTCCCGTGAAGACATTCATCAACATGCCGATCAATGCGAACCAACATTCAGTTTGAAGCGTGCGGTCTTGGACTGATATACTCGCCAGTGTCAAAACATGTGGCCATCCAAGCTGAGCATGATCCAAGGGAGCTAGCAGGAGAAACACATATTGACCAAAGACTTTTGGATCCTGCATGGCAACGGGCATTCCATGCCTGCGTCTTGACAGGATCGGGCTCTGGCGCCTGCCAAGCAGCTATACCCCCACCCCAGACCAAGAAGTACAAAAGCCTCGGTCATACCCATAGACAGGCCGCAGGTTTGCAGCTGCAGTACATCTTTATTCCCCCCAGCCCTTGTGGTGCGCTCATGCACAGAGCACTCACGGAAATGTCCTGATGCCTTGACGGTCTATGAGGAATTGCTAAAAACGAGACATTCATGGCATCTTGATGAGCGGGTAAGGCACATCTGGTTCACGTGAAAGAAGAAGCAACGGGAGCTATTGCAGCCTAGACGTTCATACCGGAGAGACCCCCTTCATCATTACAGAATGATGGTATATCCTTGGCGATGATGATGGTAATGATGGTGATGATGATGATGATGTTGATTCTGATGACGATGACGACAATCGTGAAGAAGCTTGTTGTAATCAAGTCCCAAACCTCTCTGGGCACCTCAGCCAGTTCCCTGATGCCACCGCCTCTTTCAGCAGTGCCAACAGCCTTTCGAAGATTTCCTCTGCGGTGCGCCCTGAAAGCAACTTGTAGAGTCGAAGGCACTTACCCTGAAGTGCTCGCAGGTCTACTGCTAGCAAAGTTGAAGCGGTGCGAAGCAAAGCAACACAAATCCCTCCCAAAAGCCTTTCAGGAAGGCTGCCTCTGCCTCGGCTCAGGATGCTCTGCCAGCTTCTGCAAGCATCAAATCAAGTGCAGGTTCCTCAAAGCTCAGTGCAAACAGTCCCCATCTGGATTGCTGACTGCTGCTACTACTCCTGATGCATACTACAAATGCGATTGGTAGCATTTTATGCTAATGTGCGTAAACTGCCGCTCTAGAAACTAGAAAACTGATGACAGGAACGAGTTGTAAGGACCCTTCTTGTACGCATCCAGCTCAAAAACTAAACCCCAAACTCCCCAAATAACAGCATCGCTGGGCGGTCCCCTGTTGAGGCAAACACAAAGGGCCCGTGCAGACGCTTGCGCTTTGCGGGCGGCTCAGCCTCGTCAGGCTTAGGGGTTCTCAGGAGTTCAAGGCTTTAGGTTGGGTACTGCCCCCACCCCGTGACAGTCTATATTCGGGATCATAACAAGGCTTGAGGATAACTATAATACAAGACTTATCCAACTGTTGCGGCGCGCCTGCAGTACCCAAGTTTTAGGACTCTTTGAGCTTGTCATGCATGGGATGATTAGCATACTGATGACTACGAAGCGATATCTGGATAAGGGGTTATGATAGTACCCTCCCCCAGATTTAGAACCCTGATTAAGCCCTATATACTCCTTGTTAGCTCCTGAAACCCTGGAAGGGGGTACCCTTGGGGGGGTACCATTCCTAAACCCTACTAGATTACAACTGCAACCTGACTTGCAACTGCTCAGATGACATGCGCTTCAAGCTTTAGAAAGACGCCTTCCCAACCAACTTGGATAAAAGCACATGAGTGCTTGTGGGGTGTGGGGTCTAGGGTTTGGAGACTGTAGAGGTCTAATTAATTGCTAGGGCTTAGCGTCTGGGCGGTAGGGTTCAGGGCTTGGGGTCAGGGGTTAAGGCTTGAAGTTTAGAGCGTACAGTGTAGGGTGCTCCGGCGACAGTACTCATGAAGTACCAACACTCATGGCAACATGAAGGCCACATTGCCGTGAAAGATCCACATTGGCTTGACTGAAGATTCTGCTCTGACGTATGTCTCGGTGGCCTCCTGGGTCCCTTCTGCCATGCTGGCTTGTTGGGGTACCTGACACCATCAGCTCATGCTCGCAGGAACCTCTCAGAGCTTTACTAACAGACAGTGTCGTACCTCCTGGAACGCTCCGGGTGCACGCCCGCTGCCACTCACTTTGCCCACCTGTGCCAGCAGCAGGTGCTTGCTGGACAGCAAGGGCCCTAAACCCCAAACAGTAGTTTCCACGTTATTTCCCATTATCCCTATGTAACCCCCATATTATATAGATTAGACACCCTTATGTTGCTGAAGACTGATTCTGCCAGAGGCTGCAAGGCCTGCTCCGCGCAACTGCGCAGGTGGCCCAGCAAGTAGTGCCTCGGGTTTGGTGGTTCATGCGGCTTGAGTTGGCCTTCCAGTCTCTGGTGGTGCTGACGAGATCTGAGTTGTGTGGAAGCAGGATGCAGCGAATCTCAAAATAACATCAAACACGATGTTGCCAAGATCTTCAGCCCCAGGCCGGAAGTCGGCATATTCACGCGCATATTCGGACATCAAACAATCTGCCTCATCCAGCAAATGTGCTGAAGTGGATCACACTGAAGGCTTGCAACAGCCTTGTTGCTCAATGCATGATTTGCTTAGGCGGGTTTCATCCCAACACATGGCGACAAAGAATCCTGAGCCACAGGCCACTTGGCTGTTCCACCTAGGACACAGGAAGCGTGCGTGGACGGCTCCAGCTTTAGCCCGTAAACCATGGCAACAGGGAGTTGCAGGTAGTCAACCCGTTCCCAGAATAAGTACATTCGCATCAATCTGATGACGCACCATGCCACCATGACCGCCACCATGACCTCCCTCACTTCTCTGAAAACACGACACCCCACTAGCATTAAGAACAGTAACAACAATGACCACAATAACAAGAATGGCATAATGGTACAAACAATAATAATAACAATATTACTAACAACAAGAGTAACAATAATAAGAAAACTGAGCGCCTGCCCTGCAGCCCAAACCCTACATTCATACCCCTATATGGGTCGTTTCCAAAATTATGGGCCCCTCTTGGTTATGGATTAGATTAAGGTTATAAAGGCACCCAATATGCAGGGGTACCAAAATGGGACCCTAATCTTGGGAAGTACCCTCATAACCCCTATATGTACTATAATCTAAACTCCTAGTATCCCCCTTAGTAACCCCTATAGCAGTCCCCTATATAATCCCCCAGAAACCCCCCTTTTAAGGAGTTTAGACTTCAGCTCATATCCCTTTGAGGGGACTCCCTGCCTCTGAGCCAACAGGAGCTCTGAGAGTAGCGTTTGGATCTGATTCTCGGGCTGCGGCATCCTGGGAGGGGCACTTGGGAGTTTCCCAAAACTAGGGAGACCCTTTAAGTTCATAGGGGCTATAGTCGGCTATAGGGCTGTGTAGGGCTATATGGGTTTAGGGGTTAGGATTCAGAGTTTAAGGTTTCCCAAAAATGGGTGTACTTTTTTGGGGGGGTCCCCACAACATGAATGTATGAGAGTGTTTTGGGCTCTATATTGGCAAGGGTCCCCTATTTCTGGGGGGGGGACAACCATTGCCTGTAGGCCCACGTTATAGCGTTGGAATCTCCATATGCCCAATGCTTACCTTGTGGGTAGGAGCTTCGGACTGGTGCTCGTCGTACCTGAAGGTTCAAGTCGGCTTTCAAGTCCCTTGCTTTAGGTTGCACCTATAGCTGTCCCAATTCTGACCTCACTTAGAACTACCCATGGAACCTCAAGCAGCAAAGGCTAAATCCATTTTCCCGTGTATACCCATAACAGCCTGGGAGGCATGGCATGCGGAGAAGTGCGTTCTGGTGAGTATGAAAGCTCATGCAGGCATGTTTCCTGGTGTGCTGCCAAGGTCGTCTATGAGGGTCTGAAGCCAGGGTTGTCGGTGCAGAGTCTTCAAGGCATCTAGGTACGCCTTCGTGAAGTCTGCATGGCACATACCCTTCTCCACGGTCAAGGTGAGCTGAAACTCATCGACAAGGAACTGCTTCAAGGCCTCCAGCCCGTCCGGCCGTGCAGCTGCCGAGCTGGCATAATATTCTTCAATCGCGTGGATGCCACGACCAAAGTCATGCTTCCATGCCATGCAGTCGTGCTCAAACGCACAGACTTTGCAGCAAAGAGGCGGCTGATCACCACAATACATATCCGTTTTTTGGGCCTGCATCCAACTCATGCGACAGTCAGCATGATAAAGGCTTTGTGAGTCAACCACACCCATGCGAGGATCAGCAACCCCTTCCCCGTGACCTGCAGTGCAACCCGGGGCGCAAGTTGCTGGCTCTTCGGAGCTGAATTCACAGCAGCAAATCCCACAAACGGCATCATCCGACACAGGTCCGGCAACTGGAAAGTCTGCTGGACAAAAGCGACGTTGCTCAGCCAGGCCCTGTAACCGCTTGACAGCGGAGTGCCGTCCCCCCTCGTCCACACGCAAGAAAACGTCATGCCAGTGCAGCACCTCTGGGCTTTCAAAGCATTCGCTGCAGTATTCTGGGCGCCCATCAAACGCACTCTCAGGCGGTAGCACCTCGCAAAGCATGCACTGAAAGCGGCATTTTGGGGGGAGGCTGGTCAAGGACGAAGAGCAGCTGGAGCAGCGAATGCAAGCGCAATCTGGAGAGAAACAGCAGCTGGCACCGCAGGTTTGGTGATAGTATCTCTGCCATCGCATCATGTTCTCGGTAACGGATCGCATAGGAAGATTCTGCATCCACTCTCTGAGGATGCTTGCATCCAATTCCTGGAAGGCAGCACTCGACTTCATGCTCGACCACTGCAGGTGCAGGTGGGCTGATGTTCAACCCAACCTTCTAGAGGAGTAGTTTGCCTCAAGGGCTGGCAAGGCTTTTAAGCCTATGCCTATCGAGCCAGCATGGCTCCTACAACCTAGACCGTGTACACGGAAGATTTAGCGACTTGCTTCTTCGTCCAGGTCAGCCTAAAGAATCAATCCCTAAGGTTCAGCCATCGCACCTGTAATCAATGAGTTCCTTTGACTGCATGTGGTGCTCCACAATCATTGACACATTAGTTGTCCACGATTCCCCTTGATGTGCTTCACAACTGAGGCACCCACCCGAAAATGCGGGCAAAGTCGTGGCCTTGACGCACGTACAGTGCAGCTCATCTAGAACATGCTTTGCAAACAAGAGCTTTGCACAGCTCATGCCAGCCAACATTGAGATTCTAGCCGGGCATCTTGGTGGAAAGATTGATCTCGAGGGCCTCCAATCTTCGCTGCGTGTAACGAAGCCGTGCGCATGTACATCAGCAAAAGCTCCGCGAAGTGTCGCATCCATTGCGCGCAGTGCAATCGAAGAATTTCAGGACAACCCAACGCATAGCTAGCTCTTCAAATGGGACCTTAGCTCAACCTCTGTAGATGCTACCTGATGTTAGCTGAGGGTGTCTTTCCTGCCCTTCCAGCCGGCCTCATCCCGGAGAATTGAGGCCACGAGCCGCACAGCGCCTCAAGTCCAAGACTGATCTGAAGCTCAAAGTCCGCTTTCAGAAGCTTCCCACGGCCTCAACATGCCCTCAATATGCAAAGGCGCCGGCAAACCTGTGCACGAGTCTGGCCAGAGGCGGCAAGCTGCAACAGGAGCGACCGCAAGGCCTGAGAATAAGTCCAAGGCCGGATGCAACGCAGCGACTCCCTCCAAAGGAGATATGTTGCTGTCGTGTGCGACAGGTTTTCTGCACAGAAGGCTTCTTTTTTGTTGAAGACTCTTCAAAACCAGGCCCACCCTAACAACGCGAAAGTGTCAGAGAGGAATTCGCCTAACTTGAGACATCTTGCTCCAAACACCGAGACAGCCTTTGCAGCGACTTCTGGCTTTGGCCCTAGATGGCAAAGAGTTTGCCAAAAACAGGATGCTTCTTCTGGACGCGATGCGCCTCGCCGTGTTGGCGAAGCCATTTCACGAGCTCCTCCTCAGCACCTGGTGAGAGGATCTCATTTCTTGGAGCTTGCTGAGACAGCAAGAAGCTTGTCAGTAAGACACACTATGCAGAGGTTCCGACTCCTGTCTGCATCTCCTGCTAGTTCAACAGTCAGCTTGCGGTGGTGCCTTGCACATGTTGTTGGACCTACTCTGACGGGATCTAAACAAGTCCGCCACTAAGACTGTCGGAGCCCGTTCTAGCATGCATGCTAGTGCAGCATAGCTGCGCAAGAACCTTTGCCACGCTGGCTAGCGCTGCAGCTACCAGACCTCGGTATACGACTGCACAGACTGAAGAAGGATGTCCCTGGCTGAAATTTCACTTAGGTGGGTACATAGCGCTAAGCCGGAAAGTGGCTTGAGAGATGTGTTCAAGCGGGTAGAAGCAGGTAGACAAATATCTTGCTTTTCGATGTTGGTATGATGGTTTTCAGACTGAACTGCTGCTTCTCCATTCGTCTGTCTCAGTGACCCTGTGACTTCAAGTCACATCCCTCATTGGACAACAACTTGCCAAGTCGCGCAGGTCTTCTGCTTCGCACAGGCCAAACAAGTCCGAGATCTGGCAATCACCGTACGCTGTTAACTTTCACATTAGTAAGGTTGTAGCATTTTCTGATCACTCCAAGTGCACGTAGATGGTCACATCAGGCCATGTCACGTGAGTACTCGTGAGTGTACTGAGGTACGTAAGAAAGCTCATTATGTGGAGCTAAACCCTGCCTCGTTTAAATGCTGCCTCCCGGAAGATCCAAGGAGCCGCTGCCTTGGCAGGATCATGTCGCCTGTCTAGCACTGCTCAAGGTTAACTTGAGCTGGTGCATGTGCGTACACACATGGAAGTGTCGACGCAAGCCCCATTTAGCTGTGCAAGGCATGCACCTGAGCTGGGGAGAACATGTAACATGGCCCTCATGACTCTGGGCAGCCAGCTCCAAGCGGGCTATCTGATCCATTGCCGGAAGTTGCGCGTTTTGTGTCCCAGCTGTTCTAGGCATCTGTTGTGATTCTAGGGATTGAAGCACGGTCTGCTGAAATACTTCGGCAAGAGCTGCAGCTGCGAGCGTCGCTGATGTAAGTCCAGCGGGCGCTAATTGCTGCCAGATTGAACACTGTGCATTGACATGGGTCTAGTCTGCGTGGCCGGCACTATCTGCTTAATCCGTCAAGGCATTAATTCTGCTTCTCAAGCCAATCGGCACCTGCAGCTGGCAGATGCTGACCAAGCTGATGACCGTGCACTTCCCAAACGGCCACTGCTTCAAAGAGTCTGCCAAAGTGAGGCCCCGCAGGTCCCAGCGCAGTCACCGTCTTTTTCTGTCTGTGACAAACGACGCGCAACAATCCGATTGCAGAATGGGACTGCAAAACCTCTGGTGGTCTTGGTCCTCACATTCCCTGGCTGTTGTATAGTAATAAGAAGAGATTGAGATGCTGGGGCGAGTGCGCATTGGCTCACCACTTCTTTCATAACAGTAGGCTACGAGTGCTGCTGACAAATCTAGATGATGGAGCCTCCGCACAGCCCAAGGTAGACTTGCAGGCGAGGCTGTGCTGAATCTGCTGGAAAGTGTTACTTGATTCTGCATGTATGTACAGCTACTGCCACAACCACACTGAACATTTTCACAATGAACAGTGTTCTTGCGGTTCTTCCCAACGTCACTATACTAGTTATTCCGCTTCCCTTACCATTCTTTGTTCTAGGCAGGATTTGGCACAGCTCTCCTGATAAAGCACGGCTGGAAGGTGAGCTTCTCCAACCGTGATTTCGACGCTTCACTCTTGTGGGGGTCCTTCTAGGACGCCCTAAACCGAAGGCAAGCTCGTCATGGTTTCCAGCACTTTTTTGCTTCAAAGACGAGAGTTGCCCAGCAAGCGCAAGAAATCGAAGTGCATTCAAAATCGACATATCCAGGCCACGCAAAAGAAACCTCCGTGGTACTTTGGATGCTCCCCTGAGCCCACGGTCAACAAAGAGCGACGGAAAAGATCTCCTTGCCTCGCGCAAACTCGCAACATCTGTCAGGGGAGGAAGCCCGTACAGCCAAACCTCATTGGAGTTTGGGACTTCAGAGCTGCGACGCATTTTTTGCGCCCGGTTCTGAGGGAATACCTGGAGCGTAATTACGGCATGGCCGACGCTTGACAACGGCTGCTTTCGGCGCTCTTGGCAGGGTGGCAGCGGAGCATGGTATCTGCCACTCAACATGGTTGCATGTGCCAATGCTACTGGTGGCAATATCAAAGAGTCATTAAGTTCGGCAAGTATGCCAGCGCTGAAGCATCGGCATTCCGAGGCTGGGTGTGGCAGGCATGCAAGCAATCACTTCACCTGACGGCCAGCTCTTGCAGCAGCGGACGGCATGCATGATAGGCTTACACTGCAAAAGCTTGAGATGAATGGATAGTCGGAGGCATAATCCTGACAATGGAAAGACATCTGCTACAGAACTGCTACATCACCTTCATACACTCCGGACATAGCCCCTTCATGATCCCTGCTGAATGGTATATGACCCAAATAGGCTCATTGTGGCTCTTTTGGCACAATCAAGCTTTGGACTTCCTGAACCCTTACACACTAAGACGAATGCTGAAGCAAAACATCGTACACCCCAGTCACCCAAACCTCCAATCCCAAACCCTAAACCCTCAACCTTACCGGTGGTTAGTAGGGAATAAGGGAATATGGTCCCCATATGACCCGTATATTAAAGTGGGTATAATTCTATTCTTGTGCCCCAATCCAATGGGTTCCCTGATGATCATGATGATGATGACGACGATGACTAGCAGACGTTCATCAAAGCATCCATGCCCCAAACCACAACAACGACGTTTGTGTTCCAAGAGCATATGGCCACGGGAAACTTGGGGACATGAGCGAAACTAGTGCGACTAAAGTATTCCACTAGTCCCTACTGACCACCAGTAAGCAGACCCAAAGAAAAGACGAGCTGGGCCTCGAGGATGTGGCCAACGGCCACTGTGGTCTCATCGAGGCGGAGCATCAGAAGGCTCAGGCCTTTAGCAATACATGGGACTTCCCTAACCTGTTGGGAATATAACAGGGTGACAATAAGGGTAAGATATACGTAGAGATGAAGGGATTATGTGGGGATATGTAGGGTATATGGGGTTTAAGGTTGGGACTTTGCCTACACTGCCAGCATCGTGTAGGGATGATGTAAGGAGTATATGCAGGCCAGAGTACTTCTCGAGGGTGAAGCGGTACAGAATCAGAGGTTGAGATTTCTCAAAATCGGGCAATGTACCCTTGCAGACCCAAGCTGTAGGGATTATGAGGCAATGATGGCCGTCCTCTTTAGGATTCTGCCATTGAAAAACTCCAACGAGCAAAGTGCATTTTCTGGCGCGTGAGTGACTTTTCGTACGGATGCATACAGCATCAACTTCCCAATATTTGACCATGCTTTTTGATGATTTGTGAAATGCTATGGCATTGTCTGTAGCCTTCATGCTTGATTGTGCTGTGTAAACCTTTAAAACCAGAAAAAGTCATTCAAGCACGCAGGAGCTTGTTCTCTAGGAGGAAGCTGCCAAGTTGCTAGGAACCTCTGCATTCTAGTGACAGCGAACTGATGCTGACAAATCACAACTCAAGCCATGATTTTGAGAAGGAAGCCCGGTTCGTAAGAACTCTGCAAAGGCTAATTTCTTGGGGATGAAGGATCTATTTTCGGAGGTCTTAAAGAATGCGCGCATGAGGCCTGTGCTGCGATGACGCCTGAGACGGACACGCGGCCAAATGAGCCAACAAAGAATTCTCAGCAAGAAAGCAAGCTTACTCGACTTGGGGATCTTAGTGTGTCCCTATTGCACAAACTGTCTGTATCACCTGCAGGGGGTTGCGGTATAACAAATCTTCCTGGCATGCAAACCACAGCGACAGTAGCAAAAATTGAATACCTGGGTTCGAGTCGCCCTCATGCACTGCAGTTTTCCGACAAACCTGTTCCAAAATCATGCCCAAACCCCGGCTTGCACGAAGGCAAACTGCGTCCGAATTCACTCCCATCATAGCACCTAATTGTTCCCTAGTTGTTCCTGCTCAAGTCCGCGGAATACCCTTGAACCCTGTCATACACCTGCGCCACTTTCGTGATCAACCGTGATCAACCTGTGCAATCTCAATAGTTCGCCGCTATAGACCTCAAAACCTTCAACCCAAGCACTTGAGGATTCAGTTTGGGCTGGGCACGGCTGCGTTGAGCATCAGAGAAGCTGCAAACGGGCACCTGGTTCAGAAATTGCAAGGATGAAGAGCTTGCAGAATGTGATTTGTGCTTGTGCGTTGGCAGCGCAGGTGCTGGTGACAGTGGTCATGGTCATGGCGGTGGCGGTGACGGTGGCGGCAGGAGCGGCTGGAGCGGCGGTGGCGGCGGTGGTGGTGGTGGCGGTGGCGGCGGTGGTGGCGGTGGCGGCGGCAGGAGCATAGGTACGGTTAGTAGGAGTCGTGCAAGGAGAACATTCTACAGTGCCAACATCATCTGCGCTTTTGATGTTGCTGATGATATGGCTAGTGCCACTACTGTAGTAAAGTCTTTTGCCTCTGTCAGTATTGATACGCCATGGATATAGGTATTACTTGTTGCTCCGCTGACTTTGTCTACCTGCCTGTGCCGTTTGTACAGATTACCGTCCAGCCTATGATTTGTCAACAGAGATTACTACTTGTAGCACCTGTGGAGCTGGCAAGGCCTCACCCTCTGGACAAACAGCCATCTAAGATGCCAAACGCAATCGAATCAACGCATGGCATCCTGCATCCTCGCTTTCAACCCGCTTATGATACCCGAAATGCTGTTGTACCTCACTACCTCACAGGAAGGATGTGTGAATGAGCGTCGCCTGGCGTGAGAACTTCAGCAAGACCGTCAGCCGCTGTCCAGCCTTTGCAGCGCAACAAGCAAGTTCAAGCCTGCAAACCGCCCCGGGGGTAGGGGTCTCCAACCAATTTTCTTCAACACACCACCCAAACACCAAAAAACACGAAATTGCATGCCCGGGAGCCTCCTAAGGAGCCTTTTTCAGGCCTTTCAGGGATCTTGCAGGGGCCTCCCACGGCCACCCGTGTGGTTAGATTGCTGAAGTCTGTTCCCTGATTTTGTCAGCAGCAGAGGCTGTCAGGGTTCGGTACAGCACTGGCAAAGTTCAGTTCACGCTTTCCGATTAGACCAAGACGTGCCTGAAGCCTCTTAAACCATTGATCGCCTTCTACCACTGAGCTGGTCCATTCAGTGACTCAGCTTCACACTAACACAGGCCAAGCAAATATAGTCTTATAAAGATACAGGACTACCTGGTCCTGTGTGAAGGACATGTTGTTCCTATATGGAGGCACAGCTGCGTCCAGAGACTTCAAGGATCTCTTGTGGATGTCAAACAAAAAACTCTTAACCGCACAGATGCCTGAGCGCCGAGTCTGCAATTTCCCATGCAACGAGCATCACGCAAAACAGCTTCAACACCAAAGTGGCGGACCTTTACAATCTTAGGCTTCTCGATGGTCACTCCAGTTGCCCAATCAGTGGCATCCTGCAAGCTGTCTGGAATCGCGTCACTGAAAAGCAAGCACAAACGCATGGCAAGCAGCAGGTCCCAACATCACTCGAATTCGTGTGCAGGCAGAACAGTCCAGAATGTGCTCTATCTCGGCATCCACCGTTGCAGCATGCACCTCACATGCATGAAAGAAACAAGCATCCTGAGTGCATCCTGAGCAGATTGTGAATGCTCGCGTGCCTGAAGGCTATTGAGCTTTAGGGCTTTGGGGGAGCCTTTGCCGAGCATTTACAACAGCTCGGAAATTCAAGCATCCCCGGTGATTGCCAGTGCCGCCAGGTCCGAACTCCTGTGGACACCAACGCGCTAAGGCCCGCACGTGCAAGACAGCCTTGAACCCAGCTGTCATAGGCCGTGGTAATTCCAGCACTTCCAAGTAGGCTTTCACCGAGTCAGAAACCTGGCAGATTGGCAGCATGGAGGATCGAATTTGTTCTCGCGGACTGCGCTTTAGAGCACTCAAATCTGCACCAATGTCGAAGGTCATAAAACGTAAGAAGGGGCATCAACACGTCATTGCACTTTAATGCAAATCCCCCAGCGCATGGACATTAAACTTGACGCAGAGGCTTCGTGCTTGGCCTCCACAAGCGAGTCAACGGAGCTCAGAACAGCACCACACCAGCCGATAGTGGAAGCACCTTCACAGTATACGGTCTTGGCACATAGCTTTCTACTGCCTTTTGCGCACATCATCACTAATTTTCGCAGCAGCATCACTCAAACATGGTCTTAGGTTGCCGAGTTCGCTTTGCGGACACCCTCGCAGACGCTGAGAGCCCCAAGGAAGCCTCCAACAACTGGCCATTCCGGGAAGGGCCCGCCAGAAAGCTGCAGCTCCACGTTCTGGCCACTCTTTGCCTCAAGCCAGGATATCTCCAATGCAAAGAGAAAGTGTGGTAACAGGCCTCAGCCAGCGGTACCACATTGCGCGAAGCGGCCATGCGGAGCACCTGACAGATCTAACAGCAGCGCCGGCTACGTCTGTATGACTCAACCTGCACAAAGCACCCCGGAAAATGCCTCGACGGTGCACGGAGCAGAGCCGGGCGCCAGCTGGCAGCGCTCGCCGGGCCGTAGCGTGCCTGGCAACGATGATGCAATTGATAATGCATGCTCAGGGCATGCTGCAGGCTGAGGAAGGCCAGCATTCTGGCCTCGCTCGACACGGCCACGCACACGTATCGCACCCTTTGCAGCGGGCGCGGACTCGAAAAGGAGGATTTGAAGAGCGCCTGGCCTGACGAGGTCATGGTCAGCACTGTTTCGTGATGCATATTGCTGCCAAGCCGCCGTGGCTCGGAGCTGCTGGCCATGTCGTCAAAGCATTGTAGAAGCGAAACACCCGTGTGCCAAAGGGCCTCTTGAGGCACGTTTTCAGTTGATCAGCTGCCCATGCAGTGATACAAGAAAATGCTGCAATTCCCTTGTCGCTGCCTTCTTGGCATCGACCTGGTTTGTCAGGCCGTCCACAGGGACGAAGACGGTGGCCGCTTGGCTGAAGCCTTCCAGCCCAACCAAGAAAGACAGAGAGAAAGAGAGAGACACAAAAAAACTGACGCCTGCGTTTGTCAGAACTGGGGTCAGTATGGCAATCACCTCGTCGAAGCGATCCTCCCGAGAGTCTATGCGTCTATGCGTCAGAGGTCTAGCCTGCACGAGCAGTGAAGCCAGACCTGCGCCCAGCCAACTTCGTCCATCTTGGTCACGGCAACAGCCAGGCGGCCCTCCTGCAGAGACACGCACACACTCAACAGACTTGGGGAATTAGTGGAGTTAGACGACTGAAGTCACGCAGATGAGCATTCAAATCAGCATGCATGCCAAGAAGATGAGAAGATCGGAATATGTCAGAAGTCGTTGGACCCGAAATACTCTGCGTGCTTCCATGCTCCCTGTGGGCTGCTGACCTTGGCTGCGGTGCCAAGTCCACGAGCTGCTCGCAGCTGCTCTGCCAACGTAGACGGGCCACCTCCTGCCTGGCAGAGCAACTAAAAGTTCAGCTCACGTGCAAGCAAGGAAGTTGTCTGCCAATCCCAAGCCTCCTTGAGCGATGCCTCTAATTCTCGGCCCTTGGCCGAGACGACAAGCAGGGCCACGTCTGCCTGCCATATAAAAGACTTGGAAGTACAAGATATGATGCCATCTGAGTCTTGAATCTCAAGGAAAGAACTAATAACTAGTGTGCAGGTCTACAAAGCAACGTTGCACACAAGAAGCCGAAGCCCTATCCCAGACAGAACTCTTCCTCCGCAGCTGCGGCGACCGCTTGGGGCAGCGACCGACGGCCTGTGGGTGGTCTAAAATCTCAGATGCTAAACCCAACCAGCAATGGTGCTTCACTGAAACGGGTTTCAAGGCGGCTCGGCATGAAGTAGAACAAGCAAGACAATCCTCCTGGGACGTCGAGCAGTGCGAGCTCGGCACCCTTTGGCGTGCGCAGCCCATCCTGGCGCCAGCAGATAGGGATGAATTTGAGTTCGTGGCAACAGTCTCATTGACATGTTGCTTGGCTTCTCCTCGCGCTGGGACTCATCTTTCAAGCGCTCTGCCTCCTGGCAAGGACTCAGCCAACTCCCACTCAAGCCAGTGCACAAGAGGCTGGGCATTGAACCCAAACTCGGCCTTTCGGCGTTTTGCGAGGTCACGCTCACTGATTGCACCCGTCGCCAGCAAGAGAGCCCCGACCAGCATGGACTTCCCGGCGCCTGAACTACCAGACACTGCCAGGTTTGGGATTGGCCGTTTGTTCGAAGCAAGGACTTCCAAAAAATGGCCAAACCCAGTCCAGGGCACTCTGGTGTCCCAGCACGGCAACCGTGATGTGCGCCGTAGGCGGTTTTGCCTCCCTCGCAACAGCCTGGTATGAGACTTCAACTAGTAGAGGCCAGAACGGTCTGTTTGGTCCTGCTCGCGTTACACCCAGGCCTCTGCGGCAAGAGCGGCTGCTGCAGACGGTGGGAGCCCAGCCGCTGCTGCTTTCTTGGCACGTTCCTCAGGTGTCACCGCAACAAAGCAAAGTTTCCTGCATTCCGTGCCGTGTCATTCCTTTTCACAGCCGGCCGCCGTCGGCATCGCAGCTCACTTGTCTTGCGACAAAAGAGGCTTTGACATGCTTTGACTTCAAGGACAGACACGTCCAAGGTTCCAAAAGATCTTTCAGGGTACCAACTAGATCCAACTAGCTCTGGAGCCTTCTGGCCATCTCGGGCCTCCCAAACCTCCATGCAGGATCTGCATCGGAGACCTGCTGAGTGCAATAAAGTTGCTGCTTTCTCCTTGATCTCCTTCCTGCGAAAGGTGACAGCACAGTTGACCGCAAGCGTTGGCAGATCCACGAGATTTATTCAGGACTGTCCTCCTCTGTTCGGCCCTTCGCCTCCGCTCTTCATTCTCAGCCTGCAGGACAAGCAAAGTAACCAGAATACACCAAACATCACAACAACTACGGAATCGACCAGGAAGGACTGTAAATGCCATGATTGGGGTAGTGTGGCTTTGCATCCAGCACCCCGGTGGCCTCCTGGCGCCGGAGCATCTCCTGGCAGTTCAGGAAGTCGCTTGAAAACTCAAAAGGACACGCCCCGCTGTCCTCGGCCGTTTCCTTCTGTCGTTCTTCCTCCGCAGCTCCTTAGTCTCAGACTTTGGGCAATAAATCTCGCGTAATGGCATCATATCAGGCCTGAGAATATTGGTGTCAGCCATGGCTCGACGGGCTTCTTCCCTCCGCTTTTCCTCTTCAGCAGCGCGCCGTTCCTCCTCCTTTTTGCTTACAACCAAGCTCAGGCTTCACAGTCCAAAGATCTGAGGCCAGGGAATGCCAGGCATCAGAAAGAACACGTCCAAGATTGCAAGCTGTGATCAAATAGCACCTGCCTCGCGTCGGCGCTGAGCCGCTGCAGCTGCCTCAGCCTTCCGGGAGTTCACCAAGGAGGGACAACAGTTACACACAGACTCCACAAGCGCCTTCTCCCGCTCTTTCCGCTCACGCTTCTCTCGTTCCTTGCGTTCTTTCTCCTTCCTTTCGTGAGAGCTGAGCAGGGCCAGAAAAGGGAGCAAGATCAGAAGATTCATGTCAGCCCTCGTGCCAAGGCGGCGCCTCCTCCTCTCCTCCTCGACCGCGCGCTGAGCAGATTCCTGCTCCCTCTTGGCTGCCTCCTGAGTGTAGCTGGTCAAGATGCGTCACGTTTAGGTGCAAAGATCTCCTCAAGTGCATGCTGGGACTTTTTGCGCTGAAAATTGGTATGGCCGCCTCCTCTACATCTGTATAGCTCTGAATTCAATTTGGTGGCTTATCTGTCATCCATGGCGCATCATGCATAACCAAATCTGCATTAAATGGGGCTGCAGACGTTCCGTGTGCACGTCTCTTGCCCTGTAAGTTTGCGGCTAATAACGGCGCAGCACAAAGCACATTGCCCTTCCCTTGGAAGGTGTACCAGTTGCTACGGCAAGCTAGGCAAGACCACAAACTTATCAAAGGAGCTGCATCAGTTGCCATCGTCGTTGCTGTTGCTTCTGCACTGCAGATAATAGCTTTTGCTCCTCTGGTTGTAGCAGGTGCCACTCTTAGGTGAGCAAAATGCGGTGCCACAACCACTACAGCAGGTCGCGCGCGCCCAGCTGGAGGCTCCACTGCCATCGCTGCATGCCAGGTAGTAGTTCTTACCCTTCTGATCGTAGCAGGCGCCACTGTTCGGTGAGCAGAAGGCAGTGCCGCATCCACTGCAGCAACTCGCATGCATCTCGCTGGAAAGCGGCAGGAACGACCTGTCCGAGCTCAAGCTGTTTGCGAAGCTGGTGCCTTCTTGAATCCTTCGTGGTCCATTACATCGTAAGAAGTTGTCCCTCTTCTTGAAGCTGTAGCAGCGCCCGTTGTTTGGAGAGCAGAAAGCAGACCCGGCGCACGAGTAGCAGCAGTTGCTGTGTAGCCAACTAAAACCTCCCCAGTAGAACCGGTTTGTGCCATGTGTGTCAGTGCTATTAAACCCGGCGCCTCCACGAAGCCCGGACGGTCCGGCTGAGACATAACCATACAATAGCGCCAGTAGCATCGACACGTGGGCTGCCATGCTGTCACTAAACAAGACGTGCGGAGCAACCAACCTAGTCAGACAAATGCCCCGCTGACTTGAGCCGTCTTGACGAGCGAAGTCAGGTTTCAAGCAAACGGTTTAGCAGGCGCTGAAACTGGCAAAGCGGCGAGCTTGCCTCCGCTTTCTTGAACAGCAGAGACTACAAACTAGAGCTTGTGGAAACTTTCACAGCACGGAACCTCGCTGCACACCCTTAGCCAAAATCACGAATGGGAATGGCAATGTCATTTGCTAGCATTATGAAGGCCAGAGGCCGTTGCACTGCACTCCTCCTCCTCCTCACGGCGGCGGCGCCGCTCCTCTCGGAGCTTGGCGTCCTGGCAGTTCTACATGAGCAGCAGAATTGCCTGGAAAGATTCTGGATGATTACCCTGGACAAGTGCGAGTCGAGGCCCTACCTTCTTCAGCATAAAGACTCTGAATTTTTCACCCACCCGACAGTGCAACCATGTGCAACCTTCAAGCCCAATCTGCAGATGTCTGGGGATCCTTGGTCCGGGGTACCTCAAGGACCCTAGGGATCCATGGGATTTTGATCGCAGTCGCAATGCTGCCGCCTCCTCTGCATCCCGCTGGGCCCGCCGCTGTCGCCGAAGCTCCTCTTACGGAAGAAATATCGAAACACATCCCCCATGCTTCTGCAAGGACCACGCCTTCGCCTTCTGGGCCTCCTCATCCTTTCCTGGAATGCAGACACACCAGAGAACACTCCAGAGGCTGGACTCGGATGGACCCTGAGTCCTGCAGTCTCGCTGGGCTCACTGTTGCCAGCATTTTCCTTTCTCGCCTTCGCAGGGGCATACTGGAGTAGATTGCCAAGAGAAAGGCGAAGCCAAAGAGCGTGCACTTCTTGAATGAGACAACATGAGTTCAAGTGCCAGCTCCTGCGCTTGCAGCTGACGCTGCATTTCCCTCTCGTTTCGACGAGCTTCCTCCTTGACAAATGCTTTGTGCGAATCTTGCCGAGGCGTTGGAAACATGGTTTCGCATCTTATCATCTTGTTTCACCTCATCACGAGTCAGCTCGAGTCGGTTCAAGGCTCCTGCGCCTCCTGCTCTTCTTTCAGCTTGCCTGGGCACGGACTGCTGTGACGGAGGCACACAAAGGAGATTTCACTTAGGTGCAGGCGAATCTTGAGCTCAAGGCGGCGGCGCTCAAGGCGGCGCTCCGCCTGAATAACTTGGTGAATGCATGCATGTCTTGCCTGTCCAGCTGAATGTTGCATGAGACTGAAACAGGGCAGTCAGCGGCAAAGTTGCAAAGAAAGCTTGCAAAAGTTTGGCTGCATGATTGCTGTCTGGTCATGCTGACCACACAGGGCAGCGAGGTCCGTTGAGTTGCCACTTGCTGAAACTCTGCATCCCGACAGCCTCACGGCGACGCTCCTCCTCTTCCTCCTGTCGCCGCTGCTTCTGAGCTTCGCGTGCAGCCTCCTGAAGCGAAGGGAGGGCTCTGCGGTATGACTTTATGGTACTTCTCCCCACTTCTCCGCCTGAGCACGCCTTGCCGCCTCGCGAACTGCTCGCCTTGGACTTGGGGCCTGTGCGGCATGCGCGACATTTTGCCCGCTGCAACTATATGCAACTATATGCCATGCTTGTGAGCGAGATCATCTTTTGCTAGATTAGTGGAACGGCTGGGGCTGTGCGAAGCACAGGAACCTCGGCACATCTACATTCAACATCACCGCGGGTCTCTTAGATCTCGGGTGATTCGCCTTTACCTCGCCCATCTCTTCTGGCTCCAGTGGTGGAAGGTCTTCATCCTGCACCAGCATTGGCGACGCCGCACGGAGAGTGACCACTGACCAGAGCTCAACCAACTACCTAGACAGATCACTGGAGACATAAGTCTTTGCCTGGACTTCTGATGATCATTTTCTATTGTAACCTCTGATCATCGAAAGGAAGCTGAACCTCCGATTCTGGAGCAGGGCGCTGGTATGGCTTGGTCAGGCGAACGTTGAAGGTCTCAGAAGTCTCTGCGAAAAGCAAAGGCTGCAGGTCTGGGAAAAGGGCTAGGGGCATCTGGGGCCCCGGGCGCGCATGGTGCTTGTATGCACTTCCTCGAGGCTCCGGACGTAGTAGCCACCAGGCATAGTCTTCCCCTGCCTGGAGCGGCATTCCCCCGCTATGAAAACCATTCACGTTCACAATGTCCTGCTTGGTCTCTTTGCTGCCCAGTGACGGCTTTTGAGTCCATGTCTCTTCTTCCGGGCCATCTTCGCTCACTTCCTGTGACAAGAAAGTTAGACATTCTGCGAATGACAGCGTTTTGCCGCGCACACGAATGTGCACAGGAAAGCTTGCTTTGGAATCGCATGGCCTGTGCTTTCTTAAGGTCTTGTTTCTTGAGGTCTGTGTCCTGCCACAAGCGCAGCCAGCATGAGACATAGGCTCTCTGCAAAATTTCCAATTGAGCTCAAGAAATTGATGGCTGCAAGAAGACAATGTTGAGCTTAAGCACTTCACAGCTGCACAAGACTTGTGATATTCTTGCTGCAGGCACATGGCCTCGGATGTCGGCACTGTCTGCTGCACTTCCCAGCTGGGCTCTGTCGTGGAGCGTGCATGGGCACCACCCTGCTGAGCACCGCCCTGCGGGGGCCGAGAAGCCTTCCGGCTTTGGGCTCGCCTGGCACAACGGAAACTTGACCCTCAAAACGCTGCAGAAAACGGCGAGGTGCCTCTTGTTGCGTTCGCGCCACTTTGCTGGATTCTTGCGCCTTTCAAGAGTGCCATCTAAATTGAATGACCTCGTGAGTGCAAGTCTGAGGTGCCAGCACTGCAGCATCCACCACAACTGGCTTTTGTTCTGAGAACTGCGGCACTTCAATGTCTTCAAAAGTCATGGCGCCAGCTACATCCTCTGGTCTGAAGTTAAATGCACTGCTGTTTGGCACTGGGTGGGATTGGGTGGTTTTGGGTACGGGTTGAGTTTTGGCTGCGCAAAAAGGAGCAAACACTCAATCCAATGTGAAAAGAAAGGGGCAAGCATGTCTACTTTGCCCGCATGATCGTGCTGAGTCACGCTTCATGCCCGTTTGCCCTGCGAGCAAAACAGCCCAGCCCAGACACGGAAATTTCTGAAAACAACAACTCAAGACCCTGGACAGATGGGGCTTTGCTGTGTTGTTGAGGCGTGCTTGCAATTGCCCAGATGGACCAGCTAGCAGAGATGCTTCATGCCTCCTGCAGCCCTGCCCGACAACATTTATCCTCGCAGTCTGAACTTCAGCGTGCTTCCATTCGGCTTTGCGTTAGGAAGCTCTTATCGTGACCTGTCTCGGACCCAGAGCATACAGAAGGGCGCAGGAGTGAGAGGAGGGCCCTCATCATGCTTTGAACTTGAACTAGCTTCGTTAAGAGCTTGCTATGTGGAACAGTGCCACTGCTTCGCCCTCCACTTCCTGATGCTGCCGCCACCTGGACTTCCATCTTTACAGCTCTTGCTTCCAGAGCATTTTGGAGGAAGAGATGGTGCTGGGATGGTCGCGCAGACAGCTATTCGTTGTCTTTTCCTCCTTGCGGTGGACATCCGTAACGTGACGGCCTTTAAAAGTGGCATAGCGTAGAGGTGCTCAACAGCAGCAGACAGTCCTTTCTCGCTTCCAAGATAGCCATATACAGACGACCAGAATGGTCAGAAATTGTGAGTGCTAGCTTAGCATCCGTTGCCCTAGACCACGGGGCATGAGCATGTAAATAGCAACACAGTAAGATGTGTCTCCTCAGCGTGAAACAGATAGCCTCGGCCACGTGTGCTGCCACTGCGATAGAAGTGTGGCCGTTCAAGATGCCACTCATGTTGAACGCTTATGTATTATATTGCAATCAGAGGACATACAGGTCTTGGGTGCTCTCTACCTTGCCCCCGATTCATGGTGCCCGGTCGGCATGCCTTGATTAATCTTGAGTTGCACCAGCTAGCACAAGGTGCACGTCTCTTCTTTTTCTTGATCGAGCATTTCAGACCGCTAGACACCAGCAGCGGCAGCAACAGAACCGCCAGGCAGTATTCATGCACTCTCTGTGCACGAACTCCTTGTCACCGGTATGGGCACATCCATGACCTGAAGACGCACACGCTGTTGCAAACAAACGTGCTGCTTAGCCTCACAGCACGATCTTTGACTGGCATTTGTGAAGATGTCCATACATCCCTTTCCGACGACATCTCGGACTAGGACTGCGTCGGCAACACAGATGTGCTCTCAAGCCAGTTGGCCTGCAGGGCAAGGATGTGCTTCACAAGTGCGGCATAAGCTGTGGCCTGGCGCCCTCCGTCGGTGAAGACCACGAGCAAGGCCGTCATGTTGTCACCTCCAAGCGAGTGGGTTTCTCAAGGAGATGGCGTGGCCTGGGGAAAGCTCAGCAATCCTGATCTACCTTAGCAAACACGTTGCCTCCAATGCCCATCGTCTGCGCCAGATCAGGGGAGATGCAGGCATCCAGCATTTCCTTCCCCGAGCAAGAGCGTTGCAAGAAAGAAGCGCCGAGAGAAAACTGAGAGCACGGTTCTACGACACCCCAAAGCACAAAAGCATGGATCTGCTGAGCGGAGTTTGGGTGCACCCTGTCCTCCAGAATGGTAGACAATCGCAAGCGCCCCTCCTGTCCGCAGTTGCTACACCCTCTCCCAATTTCCAATTTGCTGGCACAAGCCTTGATTCCTTGGCAGCAACACACTATCTTCTGCAAGCTTTCAACCCATCTTTTCTAAACACTCACAATGTCCTGGATATCTGAACAACTTTCGTGCTTAACTACAGTTTAAAACCACAGAAACTGCTTCTGCAGAAGCACAAGCAACCTTGAGAAAGCATAAGTGGGTCGCGATCATCCACGAATGTACGACCACTCAATATCTTTGAAGAACGTGCTTGACGAATCCTGGCATCCCTTTTGGAACCTCCAATTCCTAATGGCGAGATTGACCATCCCGCTCTCCTGGTTTGGAGTAATTAGCTCACAACGAAAGGTGTACTCCAGTCCAACAAATCCAAGGCCCTCCAAGAAAAGTGAAATACCTGAGCCTCGAAGTCTTAAAGAAAAATCCAAACACGCATGGGAGCACATTCGGCTACTAACACTTTTGAGGGCAGCCCCAAACCTGAAAGCCAACGTAGCTCTCAAAAAAACCCGACATATTCCTTTTCAGAACCTTGCAAGGGACCGATCATTCAGAGAAACTGTCGCGCCACCTGTAGCCGAAAGGCCAGGTCGGAGAAGCTACCCAGGCGCATGCGCACAAAGTCCACCGCTTCCTGATGGTTCAGGGCATCAAGCTGAGTGCCTGCGGTTGGGGTACTCTTAGGATGTGCTGACTGACGGCAGCCAAACCACGACACATCACCGAATCCCTGGTCATAGCAACCTTGAAAAATTGCCTGCATTCTACTTACGGCGACTTGCGGGCTCGTCCTGGCTGCTGAGAACGTCCCACCTGAGCAGGTGTTACAGTGCCATGTCGTCGCAAGAGTGCTGGTCAGGCCAAGTCAAGAAGGACCGACGCAACGAGAAAGTTTGCTGAGGCATTGAGGATCATAAGCCACCGACACTCCATCGCAAGCCAGAATCATGAACTCATCATCGGCCTGCTGGCAAGATTTCACCATTTAGACGTGAAGTTGACCTCCCAGTATGATAGCAAAAACGCTCTACTGTCACAGGTTGGCGAGGTGGCAACATCTCTGGCACATGCGTCGACCATCCCGACTGCCCCAAAGCATATAGCTTCAGAGACAATGATTCATGTAGCAGTTCAAGATTGGAATATGCTCATAGGAAACCTTCTTCCTCATGACCTTCCTTCGCACCACATGGCCGCACAGATTCACCTCTCTACTTTGCCCAAGCTTGGTGCGCCTGACGACTGAAACATCGTACATCCGGATGACAAGTGATGACTTGCTCCTTCAAGATGGAAAGGCATCAAGCGCATGACAAACTGCACAAGAAAGCTGAACTAAACAAGTTTTTAGTAGCTGCACTAAAGTCCTCTGCGGACATGGACGGATTCTGCTTGTACCTCTGACGCACAGGAAAATGCACCTTCACACTCAAGCACGCTGTGAAATAAGGTAGTGCGTGAGAATCTCCCATCAACTCAAACAAAAACGCACTTATACACGTGCAGGTAGAATCGAGCACAGTATTAAACTGCTTACGACCAGGAAATTTCTAAATGTTCGGGGGCACAGCAGATCGCCTATGGAACGCGACAGGTTGAGATTGCCATTGATTCCTGAGCAACACCCGGCAGAGGAAAGCTTGCAGCAGATTTTGACGGGTGTCCGCCAGGCTGCGGCCCACACTGTAGTGAACGTGGTTCCCTACGTGCTGCTGGACCACGGTCCCTCCGGCCTTTACCACGGCGTCAGGGGAGCAGCATGAACCAGGACATCTACCGTATGACGATGATCGTGCTCAGCCCCTACAAAGCGATGCCACTAAGCCATCCACTCGCAGGATACGTGATAGTTCCGCAGGGCTGTTCGGCTTGTGATCTTCTGACCTTTGTAAGATGTGGCCGTGGCCCGCACAAAAATATCAGAAGCTTGCAGCCTGTCGTGGCCGACACAGCCGGGATTCATCATACTGGCACTTTATCAAATGCTTGCCGGCTTCCAACCACGATAGGCACTAATTGCTTGTAGGAGAGCGTTCGAACATGAACCAATACCCTACTAGCTCCTGCACTCGAATTCACTTGAACAACACTGCCAATGCTGAGTCCCCGGCATATCAATCGCCTTCCCTCGTCTACAGAGAACCTTGGCTCAAAGAGATGTCTGAAAGGCCACTTCCAAATGGCATGTCCCAGCAAGCTGACAAGGACGCTGCCGCCCGGCTGTCTCCGGCATTTGCGACGAAGATTGCCTCTGGGCGCACCACAGCCGCCACCTTCAGTCGCCGCTAAACGGTCCAACAGACTTCTTCTGCACGATGTCTGCCGCAAACCCCGTGTGAAACCAATTGCATGCCAAGGTCACACGAGCATGCGCTCCAGACTTAATTCCGTTCATCACTCTGCCAGCGATTAGGGCTCCAGCCATGGTGCAGCCCATTATCTCCGGGTTGGCCCAAGACTTGAATGCCTGGCCGCCAATCGGCGAAGGAGAGCCGTGTCCAGGCAGGAAAGCTGAAGAAAGCATAACCACTCGTCACGTCTGCTTCGCAAAGTTGCTCACGATGACATGAACCATAGCCTAGACTCCTACTATCCCCCTTAGTAACCGAGGAGTTTAGACCCTAAACCTCCAACCCGCTATTAGATAATCCCCTATATAACATAAAGGAGTTTTGACTATAGCTCGCACGGTGTGGGGCTCCAGCTACGCTCCGACCCAGGCCCTGCAGCTCGTCCAGAGAGGATGGGTCTGCAAGCAGGGTGTCCTCGTCAGGGATTTGGTAAGTTCCCAAAATAGGGGGGACCCCAATATAGACCCCAAAATGCTGCTGTCTATAATCCGTACTAGAAGCACCCCAAAGTGGTACCCATTGTTTTGGAAACCGCCGAGTTGGAGTGCTTTAGGGAATGACTGCCACAAGATTAAGCTATCAGGTCCAAGCTAAATCTTCTTCAATCAGAGTCTTGCCGTCTTGCCCTGTAGCCTAACGCTCAAGCAGACTTGGCAACTAGCACGAAAGCTGCCTCTTCGCCTCGCTGATAGCCGTAGGTGCTCACAGATTCACAGATGTTCAAGTTGGCTAGATCTCCGAGATTGATCTTTGCTTGACCTCCTTTGCTAAACTTCCAGATATCTCGGCCAATCATTCGCCTCTTTTGAGGCGGTTCAACCAGATCCTGAATCCTTATCAACTCAAGCATGACATAGCCAGATATGGATCTCCTATTTGAGCATGTTTGAATCAAAGGACCCTCAACTTATGAAAACTCTACGACTCCTTGTATCCCCATACAATTTTCAAATCCCAGAACCCCCGTCCATGCGGTGGAAGGCCCGCATAAGCGCATCGCTGCAGTCCTGAGACTGTGATAGAGGCTACTGCTGCTTCATACCCTGCTGAACTACATAATATTGCTTAGGATGCTACCACACAGACGCAGATAATCCATGCCCGTGTACCAAAACTGAACCTTGGTCTGCTCCTGGCTGCTCTGCAACAGCAGCTCGCCAGGGAAATGGCGCTGACAGAACCTGAGGACTTCAAGCTGCTTACGGCCTCGGGCTTTGGCACTTAGAGGAGCGTCAGGGCTTCAGCCCCTCATGATGTGGGAACTTCTCTAGCACGCAGGTTCCTCTTAAGACATGTTGAACACCGTTTTTTGATGTTGGGTGTGGGTAATTGAAACATCTACAGGAATATTACTGGCCTAGGCTCAACTGGCCTGGATGCTCAAAGTCAAGTGCCGTGAAGGTGATTTTGAGTCCTCTGTGTCTGGAAGCGTGCCGGAAGCCGATCGGCTTTGGCCGCCAGCAGCTCGTCTAACTTGTGCCACAAAGATAGTATGGTCTCCTTTGTAAAGACCCTTCGAACCACGCACGGGACCGAGGGCCCAACTGGGCAACCTGTTCGCCACCGTGGCCGTCCTTGCAAAGCTTCTTTCAAAAGGGATCTCTGTAGTCCTTTCCTCATCCTCCTGTCCCTGTACATCCTACGGTAGTCCCTAAAGTTGGCCCTAAAGCTATGATGAGCGCCATCCCTATGACCCCAAAATAACTGCCTGCAATGCCTGCACTCTGTACACTCTGCTTGCGAAAAGGACTGTTCAAACACAACTGCCAGATGCTACCGAAAGCTTCCTCTCAGGCAAGCAGATTATAGGACAAAGCTCATTCTTTGGCATGTTTTGGAGGCTCTCCAAACGATTGTCTAAACGATTGTCTCCGCTGGTTGCTCGGCGGTGCAATTACTGGCGAAATCCTGCCAGTGGGAGCGTGCAAGGAAGCTGCACTACAGGCGCTCTGAGCCCAAGGAGAGGGCCATGACCACGAACAGCGATGAGTCTCGCCAGCGTGCACCTGGTCAGAAAAGAAGATCTTGTAACTACAGATCTTCCGGGTGTGGCCAGTCTGCTTCGAAGCCTGTGGCAACAACGAGACCATGGAGGCTAGGTGCCCAACTGCTAGACATGGCCGGTGAGCTCAACGAGCTGATGGCCTTATGTCCAAGATCTTGCAGAGACGGAACCACTCCAGATTATAAGCCTTTATAAGCCCTAGGCTAAAACAAGCAGCCCACAATATATACATATATATATATACCCAATTATACTGTAGTAGCTTCCATATTCTTTTCCATCATCCTTATATAACCCCAGTATATTCTCCTATTCCCCCCATTGCTCAACCTGCCAGGAGGCCAAATGCGCGTCTTCCATGCGGTCACGCCTGGCCAGCTGACATGTCACCCGCTCTGTTCATCTGTTATCACATATTCTCACGTGCCCGCAGCGCCAGCCCTGCATGGCACTGAATCCCCATTCCAGGCCATTCTGGAAAGACCTGCAATGCGCTGTTCCTTTTGCCATGGCTTGCGCAGCTGCTACCGATGTGTAGAATTAAATCAGGCCTGCCGTCTCCAGACTCCTTCTGCGTGGATGGTCCTGCACAGAGGCTCTCTGAATGCACAGCAAAATCAAAGCGACGTGCCTGACAAGGTGCCTGATAGCAGCCCCCCCATGGCGCCTGCAATGGCCAGTCACTCCCGTTCCAAAGCTCTCGGCTTGACACATGCTGTCTTCGAACTGCAAACTGCCAAAACAATTGCAGACTGCGCTGCGACCGCAGCACCGCTACCAACAACTTCACATTACTCAGGACAGCCCGCACTAAAGCCAAACCCTGTCCCAAATCCTGGTCCACTGTTGCACAGCTGAACAGCCTTGCCTGGGTCTTTGTCTAGCCGTGCGACAGGCCCACGAGCCAAAGGCAAGAGCGGGCCATCCCTGCTTCTGAGGACTTTAACTCCAAAGGAGGTGACAGAGCCCACAGAGCGTGGCATACAGTGCGCCGAGGACAGTAGAAACCAACGCTCAAGCTGAGTTTTGTAGGAGCTCCTGGTACGACCTACAGCAGCTGTGTACCTTACTGGTGCTTAGTAGGGAATAAAGCAGTGCAATCCCCATACAATCCCTACATGATTCCTATATAATCCTTAAAGAATCCCTATAGAATCCCTGTGTATACTATATTCCATGATTCGGATTTCCCTCCATTAAGGTGCAGGGCAGGTCATGTTCCTCTTTTTCCACTCGCATTGGCTCACCGGGAGGGCGATTCTGGCTTGGGCCGCTTGGCCTTGGAGGCAAAAGGACGAAGCGTCCAGGAAAGAGTGGCGGACTAGGGTTTAGGATTTAGGATTTAGAGCTCAGCTTTTGCAGCAACTCTTTTGGAAACGTGGCATGAACTTGGGACTCAGGGTTTCAGGTTTCGGTAGTACTGATGTTATTCTTACTAGATTACTCTTGCTACCACTATCATTGCTCACCATAGAACCATGCAGCATGTATTCCTACGCATACAATCTGCTCTGAAGCACGAGTTTAGGAGCCAGGCGGGTCGACCTCCCTCACCTCTGTACTGCCTGGCTTCTGCGCACATGGAGAGTGTTGCAAGGTTGTAGATCCAAATGGATCTGCATGATGCCTATTGCGGCGACAATGCTAGCTGCCAGCTTCACGTTGCTGCAGCAATGCAGACAGGCAAAAAACAAGACTTCTGTGTCCTTGTTTTCAATGCAGACATCAGATAAATGCAGCGTTCTTGATGAAAACCGATGAAGCAGGTTCTTCTAGACAAAAAAAAGAAGAAGCGCTTCGCACTGTGCTGTGGATCACCCAAGTTCCGGCGCAGCAGTTCTGCCGGTAATCTGCGTCCAAGCATTCGGGCCTCAAAGCGATTTACGTCCTCAGGATGTACCACCAAGAGTCATCTCCTGCATCCTTGCCCCACATCTTGCCGCTAGAGCAGAAGTAGTTGTAGGGGCGCTTTTTCTCCCGAAGGCGGAACCACTTGCCTGAGCTGCCATACTCAATCTCCCACCACGAGTCTATTCCAGCTTTGTCTGGGTTCCACATTTTCATGGAGGAGCAGAAGACCCTGTGCGGATGCTTCACTTCTTGCAGACGGAAGTACCTGCCTCCCTCACCATCCGGCTCAGTGGAAACACATGTCCACCAAGAGTCGGGGCCAGCATCAAGACCCCACATCTTGCAGGATGAGCACCACACTTTTGGTCCCATCCTGCTGCGAAGACGGAATTGGCCCTGCGGAAATTTTGGGGCTGGTGGGGGTAGCTGTGCTGGCAAGCTGACCTTCTCTGGCCGCAGTTGCGATGCCATCGCCTCAACATCCACCATTTTGATGTCATGATGAAACATTGAGGCCACTATCTTCCATGAGGGAATGTCCAGATGATAATGACGAGTCAGGTCCTCAATGGCTGCCTGATCCATGGTCCGTATGACCAGGTCGCTTGTCGGGATATGCACGAGATGCACTGCATCGTTAAACTCGAGGCAGCAAACTGTCATCTCGCGGTATTCAACCAGTACATTGCCAGCTGGGATGTCAAAGTCTAGCGCGTGTTTCATCACTATCTCCTTGTACCCGGAACCCTTCTGCTGAGCTTTGAAAGTTTGTCTTTCATACTGAGACGCATGACTTGCGCCTATCTTGAACGCCTTCAGAAGGCCAAACACGGAGGCTTCATTCTGCATGGCAAAGTTCTCAAACTCTGTATTCTGCGCGCGGCAGAACTCGTATGTCATTCGCTCTTCATAAATCTGCTTTTCACGTGTCACTTGCACCTTCGTCGGGCCTTGGAAAATATTTCCAGTGGCGTGGCACGAGCGCAACAAGTATATGAGCGTTGACATGCTTGGAAGGGATGGCTCAACAGATCTTACCTCTTGGGCCCTACCTCCACAATAGAATGTTCACATAAGTCATGCTACCATCTGCAAGCCAGCAACAGGGGTCCTTGCAAGTTGTCCCTGGAGGTTCCGGGGGATGGCTCGGCCAATCTTGAAGGTATTCCCTTTTAGCCGAACGAGCCTCTTGAGGTCTGCAATGCTGGGACCGTTGACGGAGTGGTCCTTAGAGTCCCAGCCAGCTATGGTGAAACAGCGTGCATGCAATTACTCAGGAAAAGGAGGATGATCATCATGCTTGCCAGAAACAATTGCCGTAAGCTTGCTTCAAGGTATCGGCTCCCATTACATAGAATCATGGCGGTTATCACGGCACTGCAATCATAAGCAGGACTAACTTCAGCATTACTGCACGCCTTTGACTTCAGAATCATAAGGCTGCGACATCCTCAAGGAAACCGGCCTGGCGCAGCGGGAAGGAAAATCAATAGCCAGCATAGTCATGGTCGAAAATAATGATAAGACATGAAGTGGACCAGGGAGATAAAGGAGCTGGTCTACATGTAGTCTACGACTATAATCACATCTTGCCCTTTCAGGAGCAGAGAACGCACACCGTTGGTAATGATGAAGAGGATGATTAGAAAAAACATTTCGAGTTTGGCTTTGGCAGCAGGCTGCTCGCGGCGTGGCTTGCGCAAAATGCATTTGTCTCAACATTGAGGGGTCACCCCCTAGATAACTCACAAAAGCGTCCCGGAACGAGACTCCGAATAGAATACATACCAGAAGTGGAAGCTTGACGAGAACTTAGGTCTTGAGCAACTAGTGTTGACACTGCCCACATAGTCTGACCGTATCCTGAAGGTCCGTGGCTCTTCGAGAGAATGTGGCGCTCATGGCATACCAGCTGCCTATTTAGATCCTTGCTATCTCATGCTGACCTTCAAAACTTCAACTAAGAGAATGGTGGTAAATGTCTTTATCCCTGCCTCCGGCATCAAACACCTCTTCCTGGCTACTATGAACACAGGTGTACAGGCATGACTATAAGGGAAGCCCTTTGCAAAAAGACAGATCCCAGGCACCGTCATAGCTGGCAGCGCAGCATCGCCAGAGGCACGCCTTTAGTCAGGCTGGCATCTAAAGCTGTGTCAACCGGCATCCAACAGCATCCTCTTAGTCCCCAACGTTTTCGTAAACCCCATAGCGTGAACACTTCAAATAAGGTGTTAAAAACAAATATTGTGAGAAAGTACCATTCTGCTATCGCTTCGTGCTTGAAAAGAGTTCATGTACACAATTGCGGCTGCTCCCTCTGTACATAAGCACAACTGATTGGCAAAGACTTGACCAGGGGCTTACAATGCCCGCCACAAAGCTCCACTTCCACGAAAAGGACCATGCGTTTTGTGGGACGCTCCGGAAAATGCATATTGTGTTCGAACAGTGACAAAACGCCCTGCGTCTAGCATTGCAAAAGATGCGCCTCCAAGTGAGATACTCAAAAGAGCAACACTCGCAATCTCTTGCGCAACTTTTGTGAATGAGGCGGGACCACATTCTAATATCAGGTACCCTACGTCTGCCCTTCCTCTTCCCGTTAGGAACCAACAAAACATGGAAGCAGCTTGCATGTTGAAAGAGACCACCACAGCAAACCCGCAGAACTGAGAACGAGGCTTCTGCCGACTTTCCCGGATCTTGCGGTTTTCGCGCTCCATGTCCAGCACCTGCCTGCAAACAAGCTTGGGCCAGCAAGTCTCCGCTGTCTCTACTCGAGTTGTGGTGCTCCAACACCTTCTTCTGCAAGGGTGGAGCAAGCACAAGTCGATCAACGTTGACTTGCATCTGGGGGTCAGCGTTGAAGTCTTGAACTCTTGCCATGTGGCCTTGCTTCCGCAGTTTCGGTCTCCTGCACCAGTCCCAAAGATCTTTACGGCTAAGCTTTGCCGCTTCTAAGCATAAGCTGTCGACTGAGTCAAGGACTGTCATGAGAAGCGATCTCCGCACAGGTTCATGCTTGCGGTACTGGGACCGCTTGAGCCTGGATGGAAATACAGTTACTGATTCATGCAGGGACTGGAGGCAACCTTGACACAAGACTTGAGTCCCGTACATGTCATGCGATGCCGATTCCATTGATCTTGGAGTGGCAATGAACCTTATCAGGGGACTACGGAATGTGCTCTGTTATTTAGTCAATCCTGCATGGTATAGCACTTCAATTATCTGTTTTGCTATCATGATATAAGATCAACCCAACACGCCGTGCTGGGACAATCAAGCTAAGAAAAACAGCAGCTTATGATCTTCAAAGTGCCGTGCTTGTTCGAGATTGCTCCATGGCAGACGTAAACGTCTTGGCTGTTAACCTCGAAGATGGGATTCCTGCAGAGGCGGGAGCTATGTGTGAGGTAGCTGGCTGTGGCTGATGGTAGCATCGGCCTATCAGTCACCTCGGTGATGTTGAAGGATTCGCTTCCAACATAAAGCGTCCAAGTCCTTAGGTGGCTTGACTGGACTCGAGAACCGCTAACTCCCTGCACAAGCTCAATAATGACCAGGACTTGGGAGCTGGCTCATCCTCCCACTGGACAAGCCGACAGTTGGATCTCAGCGCGTACTTCAAGAACAGCCACATGCATTCGACTTGGCAACGATCCCCAAAGATCAGGTTGTGGCTCGTGAACCGGCCGCCCGGCGGAATCCAACACATTGTTTCCGTACTCATCCTCCATCAGGCGGCCGGAATCCATTATAAAATGTCTCAAGGACCTAAAGCAAGGCAATGTCTGGTGTGCTTGGCACGTTCAGCAGTCCTGCTCTAAGCGCCATCGGACGCAGTTCTCTGGGTTTTGCAGGCTAAGCACCTCCGAGATAACATCTCCAGACAAGGCTCTGCTGCCCAAACAAACCGAAACATCTGCTCCCCCATGAAGGTCGTGATGCCAAAGGTACAGAAACAATTGCCTAGCAGCGGACAATGCTTGCAGGCCAGCCGAGCTTCTGACATTTTGACCTCGTGTATTTTTGTACCTGCCAGACGGGGGGGAGGGTTGAATTGCTTTCACACGCTCTTACATGGAGCATGACGCGTTTCAAGGCTGATCAAACTTCCAGATCCTTTCTTTGATTGATGCTCAGGCCATGGCTCTTTGTAACCCTCCATCAAGGTGTCCGTGATGGACTCCATGCCAACTGGGATAGCCAGTTTATCAGGTTCACTCTGAGATGTCAGTCCACACATGATCCCGGCATTTCCAGCATCTGAAACCCGTGGTCACAAAGCAACATGAATTTACAGTAGGCTTGGCCTCTGAGCTCCCGACGGTACTCGGCATCATCGAACGACAGCATGTTGGGCAGTCTGATGCTGATGAGGTCCTGAGAGCATAGCAGGCAATGTTGCGCCCTCAGTCACAAGAACTTAGGAATTGTAACCTGCATCATTGCGAAGATCACAGTTCTTTCTGGCAAGGTTGCCGTGGTTCGCAAGTTAAGCGAGGGTGGAACAGCTCAGCGTGTCGATCTAGAGAGGCGCGCCCTGTCGGCAGATGGCATCATCCGCTCATTGACGTCAATGTTGAGCTCCTGGCATACAAGGCTGCAGCGATTCAGCAAGCTTGCCATCCCTACCCGTCAAGCTTAGATTACCAAACTTGCCTGTGCAACATGCGAAACATCGTCTGAATCCTTCTACAAAGCCTCCACAGATGATCCATGAAAGCAGAATCCGCTGTCTCCAAGATGCTGCAGCTCCTTCTCAGGCTCATCGTCTGAGACATCTCCGAAAATTTCCTTTTCATCCTGGGTTGTTTCCAAAGCAACAGAACACACTCCAGATGTTTAACTTGTAAACTTGCCTAAGCTCACGTGCAGCATGCATGCCACATCATATGGATCGTGCGCGATCAAAAAGATGCACGCATCTAACACAGAGTCCTTCTCTTGAACGACTGCAGGGGACAGTCTACGTTGCAAGGCAGGAAACATAGAATCTCAGCCAGTATTCACAACCTCAAGCCAACCGACCAACAACACCAGCAAGGTTCCAGCTACAAAGAGAAACATGCATGCCCAGAACGCGCGCACAGCTCCAAATGTTCTGCCCTTGCCACATGCAGCTTGTCCTTTCACACCAAGTACGCAAAACAGAGCCCATTCTCTCGAGCATAGGCGTAGGCCACAAGATCACAGCTAACTGCGGCGGAGAAGCCAGCTCACTGATCTCGGACGGAGGTGGTCCCTGTCAGCCGATGGAATGTTAGCTGCTGCGCACCGGTTGCACTGTATCTCACAGCTAGACAAACCTGGATACCAAGATACCTTCAAAGGCTGGAATGTCCCCAAAAAAAATGGATGCTCTTTTGAGGTTCCGGAATCCCTAGACCACAGCTTTCTGAAATGACTTCCCCGGTCTTGGAGCACCACCACGTTCCCTCAACACATGCTGCCTCCGCCGCGGGCAGTGCAGGACGGTCTGTTGACGGGGCCTGCTTTGAGCATATGCGGTGCTTCTCTATGCTTCTCGAAAAGCTGATGGTGAGCAAAGCATATGCCCGTGCATGCAAGGCAGCTTCTTTGCAAAAAGCCGAACACCAAGTTGGCCTTTCCAATGCAAAATCGAAAGGCCTAAAAAGCGCAAGCCGTGTATTGGCCGTTTACGCACGATCCTTGAACAGTTCCTGCATTCCCTGTCCAAGAGGGCTGGGTGACAAAAAATGAGAGCCACGAAAAGCCTAGATAAGGCCTTACCAAGCTAAACAAGAATTTCGGATCCCATGCCATTTGATGCTGATCTAATGACGGAGGAAATGATTCACCACGTTGGAAATGACGTTCTAAGCCCAACTCCTACACCCTAAATCTGGTACCCCCTACAAGTAGATCCTAATACCCAATGGTCACCCTGCCTTAATGGCTAAACCCTAAACCTTAAACCCTAAACCTAACCCCTCCAGTCCGTCTGAATCCTGAGCGGGGCCTTAGCTGGCTCTGCCTCCTCTGGCTCTTCCTCTGAGCCAAAGAGGCCTCTCTCCAGGTCTTCGCCTAAGTCCACGCTTTAGGCTCCCACTTCCCAGAGGTTGCAGGGGGTTGGAAGGGCTTGGGATGGTTTGGGGCTGATAATCAGGTTATAGTAGAAGGAGGGCTCTTAATTCAGAAAGTCTAGGGACTTCAGGGTCTAGGTGGCAATCTGGATTCTTCTTCTGCTGCTGCTTGACACAGGCAAAATCGAAAGGGTTTGGGCGCTGTATGGGTAAAGGGTGCAAGGGGAACAACTCGAATCGTTTCTTTCAGCGGAGGAGAGCGACTACACCTGAAGCTGCTCCTACTCCTATATGCTTCAAAAACCACAGTAGCGTCGATTAAATCACAACCATAAGCAGCAATGACAGCACCCTGTGAGATGTAAAGTGATTGTCTACGTTGTGCTGCACTGTTTACTTATACCATCTTGGGAACTGGATCTGCCACTGCGGCAACTTACAGTAATCACATTAGGAGTACTGGCACTGAGAACAACACGCCTTTATTATCGTGTAGGTCAGGCGGAGATAAAAAGTCCTGATATGAACAAAGCCCTAGAAAAACGATAGGCACAAAAAAAAAAAAAAAAAAAAAAAAAAAAAAAAAAAAAAAAAAAAA